GACTCACCACGGAAGGATTACAAGGATAGTGGGAATGGTACAATCTTCTGAGCCAGGAGGATCAGCCAGATTTCACGCGGCGGTGAATTCTCGGATCATTTCGGGACATTCCTTAGTTCAGGTTGATGATGAACACAACATCAAACATGCCATTTTTTTGCGAGAAGCATATACAGTACATCACAATATTTTTTCTCGGGAAAATCTTCGGCATTTGCTCTTCGGCATAAATAGAGATTTTGAATTATAGTATAACTAAAATGCCACTGACCCTCAATCTCTCTCAATCTGGTTGATCAAGTTTGTCAGTATGTCAGATCTCGTTTGTTATGTGCTTTCGTTCTCCACTTCTTCTCAGTCATTATTGTTTTGTTTTTGTTTTTTCAAGCTCATCTTCGAGTAATTCATCCGTTGCGGTAGTTGGCGCTAATAAAGTGCGAAATCGAGAACGTATTTCCTGAAGACCCATTAACCTCAGATCCCTCGCTTCGTTACCCGTTTCGTGATTATCGTCTTCCTCGTTCTCGGCGACCTTGTTCGTGGACAGCGTTATTCGCATGAATATTTCAGCCGCAAGGTTTTTGCAGACGAACCCGAAGCACCCGTTTCGGAGCAGTGTTATATGTACCAGGTCAATGGGTTCTTACTACGTCTGAGCGTTTCGCCTGGCCATGTTCAGCTGTTGCGATTTAAAGAATACGAGAACCTTTTTAAAGCCTAAAAGTAGATGGGTAAACGGTACTTCCCGTTTTTGTTGCTTTATAAGACCCTAGAGGTCTTCTCTAAGAAAGTTCGATCGTTTTATAGTAGATTATTTAAAATCACCATCATTTATAAGAGTAGAATCTTATTGGAACGGAGTACAGTAAAAATTTGTTCTTGAATGAACGCATGGTAAAATGAAAAAAATAATCGGAATACTGTACTGTACTGGAGAAAGAAACTCTGCATGACGATGCGGTACTAACTCCATAGAGCGATTTTATTGTTTCTGCTTCAAACAGACCTTCTATAATAAGCATCATAGCTCCTCTACAATGATATTATCAGTATTGTACCTGTAAAAAGACATTTGTAGTCCCCCTAAGCTTCGATGTCTATAGTGGCCTAGTCGATCTGTTCCATGAAATATAAGCCAGCAACAGTGCATTCTTGAACGGAAAGATTAAATCCAACATGGTGTGACGATTTGAGATAGAGCTGAGATCGGCACGTGTCGATTATTTTTATATGATCCATTCTTTTCCATAAATCTGGAAACTTTTCAGAACATCCTCGTGATTAAGTATGCATTTTATGGGTATCTCATTCGTGAAAACCTGAAATATTGATTGACAAGTCTCTGGACTTTTGATTCGTGACGCTTATTTTGCTTAATTGATCATGGAAGGTGTTGAATGGAGGGTTTAGGTCTCGCTTAGGAATGCCGCTCGGGGAAAAATGCTTAGAGCTATCCGCGTATATTTTTTTTCCTTCGTTTAACGCGTGCATCAGAGGCAAACGTGTGTCCTCAGCGACCCGGTTTTTGGGTACGAGAGATTAGGTTAGTCGTGCTATGTAATAGTTTGTTCAGTCTGCAACATGGATCCTTCTGTGGATGCCCTCCGCGTTGTTCTCCCCGACCTCGCTTGTTTGGCTGACCCGATCGTGCGTACATTTTTTTTTTTTTACGGTTTTTCCTGGGGGTGTTACTCTCACTGCTGGGCGACGACGTGATTTTTTTTGCGTAAATGTTTGCGTACAAAACTTTTCCGGGCACATGATTAATCGGATCGCGCGCAGTAAACGACTTCGTGATCTGACACTGACTTGATTGCATCCTGCCAATGGCCTCGAGAAACTTTTTGATGAAATTCCGTCCGAGCTGATTCCTTTGCCGGGTTCTCGTTTTTCTACCTTTTTCGTACAGACTTTTTTTTCATTAAAATTTTTAATTTTGGAAAATTCGTTAACGTGTAAGACTAACCGCCGAAAGCCCATTTTACGTTCTGACAATTTCCGAAACTTCGAAGTGCATCTGCAGGGAAACATGCTGTCGATTTCTTGATTTTTCTGCGCGACGAAATGCGCGATTGTTGTCTCGTAAAAGCGTGAATGGTCGAAATCGATGGCTTCAGGCAATGTGGCGATGCGATTTATTTGAGTATCTTGAAAGGCCTTTTTAATGTCTTTCACTGACAACTTGAAACATTGCGTATCACCCTCAAACGAAAACAAAACACGCTTATCAAAATCCATGATCAATTTCAGAACATCGTATCATGGTATTCACGATACTTATGAAGGTGATTTTTCGTTTTAGTTGCGGGACTTCAAAGTTGGTCGAGTTGTTGATGACCCACAAATAATTGTTCTTGCGGTCGTTTTCTATCAAACTAATGAAGAGTTCAGATCGAAAAGTTTTAAAATCGCAAAATTCGAAAATCTAATGAAGTTGGCAGTAATAAAGTTGACCGGTACCCCAGAAAGTCCCGTTTCCCATGATGATTTGAACGATTATCGCCCTTTTTATTGCACATTGCAGTTCCGTCCTGTTGATTACTGCCTGTGAAAACTTGTTATAAATCGATGGTGTATTTTTCTGCAACGGAAATTTAGCAAGGCACCTTTCAAGGGCAAGAAATCCAAGGACGTCGAAATGTTACCTACTTTATCGGTACTCGAAATACAACTTTCAAATGATCAATGCAAAAGTTTGACATTGTTCGTGTTACCTATCGTGTTTTCGGGCCAAGGTATCCCATTAGAGTACATTAGACGGTTCCGTTTTTCAGTAATTGGAGCGTATCAGGGAAGTTTTGAATTTTTATCGAGCCGTCATGGATTAGCATGATTGGAATTTTTTTTTTTTGGTCTGCAGAAACGTGGAAAGTTCCGCTGAAAAAATAATCTGTCATTTCAGATGTTCGCGGTTGTTCGTCAGATTTTCCACTAATTCCTCAAATGTCCTCGAGCGAACGTTTCGAGTCCTGTTTGACCTTCTTTCATTGGTTCTCACAAATGTGTCGTGAACTTTACTTTAGGATATTTCAAATCAAGAATAAATAATTTTATTATTTTTCTGTTCGGATTTTTGCACAGTTCCATCTGCATTCTTGAATTGGTCAATGTTCCGGAAAATAATGTATTGAAGAAAAGTTGTTCTCTTTTTTGTGGGCGTTTTGCTTCGGGATTTTTTGAAGTCGTCGAAGAATGATCTCCCAAGAGTTGTATCGTTGGTCTCCTCTTCAAATTGCTCAAGGTTTAATCAAACTTTATTGAGCCGTCTTGCACATGCTTCCGAACCCCTGGTACTTTGTATGCAAGTAACTTCTGTCTAGACAGATTTTTTGGAATTCCCGTGCTCGTCGGCCAGACAAAAAGATAACTTTTCATTCGAGTCGTCTGGTTTTCTCCGCCATCGTCTTGCAAGAATCTTACCCGATCAACTTGAGAACTTGAAATTGGACTGCTGTTTCACGCTTGCTTCGGATGGAGCAAACAAGTTATTCCTTTGTGTACTTCTGCGCGTATGTCGTCGCCGCTCAGCTTCGGGTTTACGACATTTTCGAAAAAAAAAAAACCCTTCACCTTGATTCCACGTGCTGGTAGACTTGTCTGGAAGAAAAGCATTGGTGAAAAGCTTACGGTTTTAATTTCGTGTGTCTCGCGTTGCTGGACTTCGTTTCACTTGAGAGACTTTTCTGGAGATTTACACGTTTCGAGAAATCGAAATATTTTTCGTTTTGTGCATTGTTCTGCTTCGAGCTCGTTGTTTTTTAAAAATGTGCTATCGTGAAATTTTAAAACTTCAGGACTGGCGATCCTGGAAATTAATTTTAATTGTTGAACCTATGCGATTTTTAGGTACGCTTTAAAAGATTGTCATGATCTGGAAGCTACTTTTCTTGGTACTTGGTTTTACCGAAGAAGCAAAAAATATCAAGTACACATAAAAAAATAACTGTAGCATATCCTTCCTTTTTTCTTGACGAAATTTTCAGTCTAAACTTTTTTTTCGAAAATATCCCGTAACAGTTTTAACAAGGTAACCTTTGCACTCAACATCGTCAACAGATTAATGGCGAGAACAGTTCTTGGATAGAACGCACTTGTCAGGTAAATTGTCACGAAGAACGTGTTTTCAATTATTTGAATTATTTGATAGCTCTGGCACTGCTTTGGAACCTGCTTGTTGGGTGAACCGTATTTTCTCTGAATTTTCAAGTGCATATTTACTCCCACTTTTCTCCATTTCAACATGAGCGAGTGGTAAAACATTTCCAGAAAGGATCTGTTAGTACGCCTTGAAAATTGTATCCATCCGCCTCCAAACGATGAAGCCTCTAAAATTGAAACACAAGACTGACGGAACTTGTGAAGCATTTCTAATGTACTCTACTTGGAAACTATTCCCCCTCATTGAAGAATCTATTGGATAATCACTGTCGAGTCGTAAAAAATGATTAAATATTGTAAGAAATTTTAATTTTATAAATTTTTCGAGCCGTGAATTCGAAACTTCAGTTCGAACTCTCTTCAGAGAGTCGCAGAACTATCGTAATACGTGGCGTCCTAATTCAGAATTGCAGAAAAACTGTGAGATACGTTATATGATGGTTATCTCTTCTTTTTTTATAAATTTGTGGCTGCGGGATCGATGTTCGTAAAAAAATAAAAATAAAAAAAAGTGGGGAAAGATTAAAAGGCGAGGAGCAAACGCCGTTAAAATTGATCTCGGCAAATCCACCTGATGTTGACTCTTCCTGTTAAAGAAAGAGGCGGCGGGATCTCTGAGAAAGCCGAGATGTGCTCAAGATATTCCTGAACTTGCGGGAACCCTTTTTTTTCTATCCCCCTCCTTATTTCCCGAACGATGCTGTGTGGGCAAAAGGTAGACACAGTTTTCTCATCCCTTTTCTATCGTCCGGCCAGATTTTCTTCGTCTCTTTCTGGCGGCGATGGCTACTCAATCGATTAATTTTTTTCCTCCGCAGCTTATCGATTTCGTTATCAGTCGACTTGTTGGTAGCGTTTTCTTATTCGAGGGTGTTTTTCACCTGAGGGGTGTTCTCACTTTTCGTTTTTATTCCTCTAATTTCGCTGTCCCTTTTTTTTTTGCACCTGCGCTCAGACCGCTGCTGCTGACGTCATACCTGATGAAATATATAGATGAACGTAACTTTGCTCTCGATATTCGATGTGAATTCAGAGACGCTCATCCATACTACAGAATGCGAGAGCGGTGGCAATTGAGATTTCATGAATCAGGAATTTTAATCCGAAGAAGACCGTGCATTTATTTGATTGTTGAAGCTTATTCACGTAGAAATGTGGAATCATTCAAATCAGGATATGCAGGACTCCCGCAGAAATTTATGGAGAGAATGCCGCAAAAATTGACAGGGAAAATCAGATGTGTTATTAGGTGTTCATAAGAAAGTATAGTGTGGACTATATTTTTTATGAGCACCAAATACTGTAGAATTTATACTATTCTCCGGAAAACTGTTCATGTACGTTTGGTTTTGAAGATCATCGACGGATTTATTATTTCGTATTTATATTACTCGAAAAAATATCGAAAATTTGGCTCCGTCAAGTAGGGCTTTTTTGTCAGCTGTGTGGTTGCTGGAACCAATCATGCTCATTTGTCAGAATTTCCCCGTTCGTTGTATTGGGCGAGACACTATTCACGTACATTTCTAAATACACTCAAGAAGATGGGATTTTATGTTTCTGCTTTACTTCGGCTATGATTTTGCCAAACACTTCAGGTTGTCTTCTGGTGAAACCTTCCAGTCTGCTTGTTTTAAAATTTTTTTAGAATTTTCTATGGCAACAGTTTTCACATACTGTATATCTTTCTTACAAATTTCAGTAGCCCTCAGCTTATGAAGTAAAGTACTGAACCATATTCGCTTTCTTGGAAAGTAATCAACCCGTTTCTCAAGAATTCTGAATTTTCAAATAGTGCATACAGTACAGTGCCATGCTGGAACTTGGAAAGCATGATTTTTCCTTGAATTCCGTTCTAGTTGGCGTCGCGCCATTTTCCATTTCCTGTTTGAATCCACGTCGATGCACTCGAAATGCGTTTTTAATGCACATATCATCATCTCCTTTCTTAACTCTCCATCCCAGTCAAAGCTTGATCATTTTGCCTTAGGACAAAGTGGCCATTTTACGATGACTCTGTGTTCGAGAGAAATTCAATCGATCTGTCCGGAAATTAACTGGGATCCTTCATGCTTCATAAGTGGAAGAATGATTTCTTGCTATTCCATTGAGGCTTTTCAGTATTGCTGGCAGTTCTTCGCGCTTTGGTTCTCGTACATTAGTTGTTTTGTTCTTCGAATATTTTGACCTTTGCTTGTGTGAATGTATAATGCAAAAAGCTAGGTTCGTAATGATCTTCGTTATGAGGAAAGTTTTCCCCTTCAATGCGAGATTGGAAATTTTTATACAAAATTTGAACGCTATACAGTACACCGGAATTTAATTAGTACATTTCGTTGCTGCAGCATTAAAAATCTTAGAGAATGTACCCATTCCCAAGTTTTATGGCCCACATATGGCATGAATTTTTGATATGTCATGCAGTAATGTATTAAAATATTTCTGTTTTTTATCGTGAAACGTAAGCACCTCAAAATCTTTTCGAAGTATCGGTACATCAAAGTTTTTCCCGGGTTTAGTAAATGAGGTTTCTGTTTGTGCTAATCTTGATGTGAATCGAGAAAGTCCATGCTTCTTTCTTTTGTTGAAGACTGAAGAAAGAAGCATCAATAAGATCCTCTTCTTGGGATAGCTTCAAATTTTCGTGTGCTCTAAATAGTTGAGAACCAGATTTGAAACGGCAAGGTTTTTCAATTCTTCCTTTTTTTCTCTTTGCATAAGTGCCTGGAAATTTCAGATCCTCTGCACATTTTGGTGCGCCGGACGTTGAATTGACTTACTGATGCTAATTTCCAATTGTCTTGCTTTTCGTATTTCTGTGTGAAATCTCTAATATTTGCATCATTTTCTCCCTCGTTTCTCAGACGTTGAGCCCTCCGCAGCCGTCGTCGTCGGTGTCACCGAGTCAGCCGTCATCGACGTCGCAAGATGCCTGTGCGTCACCACCGTCGTCGTCTAGCGGGACGACGAACACTTCCACTTCCGCGTCCACTTCCGTCGTTTCGCGGCTGCCGTTTCTCTATTCGAGTATGGACGCCCCTCAGCCACCAGCATCCACCATGATGGGCCAGGTAATGTCATTTTCATTTTTTTCCTTCTTGGTCATTCAAATTTTGACCGCATGAAGAATCTTGACGTCGGCGCGTTGAAAGCTCAAATTTAATCAAACGCCGGGTTAATGTCAGGACAATGCGATAGTCGATGTACAGTTCTTTTGAACTCTTGTTGCCCCCAATATGAAATCTCGTTCATGTTTGCTGATGGTTGGGTGCTCAATCAAATATCTCGGTTAATCGGAAAAATTATTCGCAAAGTTGAAAAATATGCGAAGACGACCCGAATCACCTCACTTGGCGTGATATATCAGCATTCCCATGAATCTTTAATGGAAATATATTTTCCATCCCCGCCATAAGGTTTGCTGTGATCAGTATAGTTTATTTACTTTCTTGTATCTCATCAGATAATATTTGAATACTGTTTTATATTTATTAGATAGTTACGAGTGTATAGTTTTTTTTAGCCAAATGATGCTTTCCATATTGACCTTAATTTCAGACACATTTTCGTTTATGATTTAGTTTGTCGGGAAGAAATAAAGCGACTAAAATTGGCGACGAATATATTTTCCATCGGATCTGCTTGGTATTTCAATGAGGGTGATGAAACCCCGGATAATCAAGTTTCAATTTTATATGAAACGAATACCTTTAGCATTTGTAGTCGGCTGTTTTCCTAAAAATCGTGATCAGCTTGTATACAGTAATGTGAAGCGATGTAGTGTTGGAAACATCTTTGCATATCATGCGCGGGTATTAATTTTTTTAGGTCGTTTTTCTTCTTGCAATTCAAGATTTTGATTATCTTGCCTCAAGTGCCTTTCTTTATTTTTTCTTGCTCGCGAAAATCGAAGAGTAATCGTCCAACAGTCAGTCAAAGAACGCTATTTCGGGAAGCTGTTTTCAAGGTTTCTGCGTTGCTTATGTTCGCGGAATCATTTTCTCTAGACGAGGCTTCTAGTCTGACGTAGATGATCGCAGTTTTTTTTTCCCTCTCGTTGTGTGCTCATTGTGGCGATAATAAGAAGTGCTTGGCGAAGCGCGTAATTTCTCGGGTGTGTGATGGCTGGCGGGAGGAAAGCCTTTTCAGGATGAAATGTATTCTAGCTTGACGTGTGAGGTGTCTACGTATAATGCTGACGTCATACCTGATGAAATATATAGATGAACGTAACTTTGCTCTCGATATTCGATGTGAATTCAGAGACGCTCATCCATACTACAGAATGCGAGAGCGGTGGCAATTGAGATTTCATGAATCGGGAATTTTAATCCGAAGAAGACCGCGCACTTCTTTGATTGATGAAGATTATTCACGTAGGAATGTGGAATCATTCAAATCAGGATATGCAGGACTCCCGCATTAATTTATGGAGAGAATGCCGCAAAAGTTGACAGGACATATCAGATGTGTTATTAGGTGTTCATAAGAAAGTATAGTGTGGACTATATTTTTTATGAGCACCAAATACTGTAGTATTTCTACTGTTCTCCGGAAAACTTTTCATGTACGTTTTGGTTGTGAAGATCATCGACGGATTTATTATTTCGTATTTATATTACTCGAAAAAATATCGAAAATGTGGCTCTGTGAAGTAGGGCTTTTTTGTCAGCTGTGTGGTTGCTGGAAGCAATCATGCTCATTTGTCAGAATTTCCCCGTTCGTTGTATTGGATGAGACACTATTCACGTGCATCTGTACGTACACTCAAGAAGATGGGATTTTATGTTTCTGCGTTACTTCGGCTATGATTTTGCCAAACACTTCAGGTCGTCTTCTGGTAAAACTTTCAAGTCTGCTTGTTTTAAAAATTTTTAGAATTTTCTATGGCCACAGTTTTTACATACTGTATATCTTTCTTACAAATTTCAGTAGCACTCAGCTTATGAAGTAAAGTACTGTACCATATTCGCTTTCTTGGAAAGTAATCAACCCGTTTCTCAAGAATTCTGAATTTTCAAATTAGTGCATACGGTACAGTACCATGCTGGAACTTGGAAAGCATAATTTTTTCCTTGAATTCCGTTCTAGTTGGCGTCGCGCCATTTTCCATTTCCTGTTCGAATCCACGTCGATGCACTCGAAATGCGTTTTTAATGCACATATCATCATCTCCTTTCTTAACTCTCCATCCCAGTCAAAGCTTGATCATTTTGCCTTAGGTGTTTCACCGGTAAAATGCTACTGAGTGTGTTCGAGAGAAATTCAATCGATCTGTCCGGAAATTAACTGGGATCCTTCATGCTTCATAAGTGGAAGAATGATTTCTTGCTATTCCATTGAGGCTTTTTAGTATTGCTGGCAGTTCTTCGCGCTTTGGTTCTCGTACATTAGTTGCTTTTTTTCTTCGAATATTTTGACCTTTGCTTGTGTGAATGTATAATGCAAAAAGTTAGGTTCGTAATGATCTTCGTTATGAAGAAAGTTTTTCCCTTCAATGCGAGATTGGAAAATTTTTTATACAAAATTTGAACGCTATACAGTACACCGGAATTTGATTAGTACATTTCGTTGTTGCAGCATTAAAAATCTTAGAGAATGTACCCATTCCCAAGTTTTATGGCACAAATATGGCATGAATTTTTGATATGTCATGCAGTAATGTATTAAAATATTTCTGTTTTTTATCGTGAAACGTAAGCACCTCAAAATCTTTCGAAGTATCGGTACATCAAAGTTTTTTCCCGGGTTTAGTGAATGAGGTTTCTGTTTGTGCTAATCTTGATGTAAATCGAGAAATTCAATGCTTCTTCCTTTTGTTGAAGACTGAAGAAAGAAGCATCAATAACATCCTCTTTCTTGGGATAGCTTCAAATTTTCTTGTGCTCTGAATAGTTCAGTACAAGATTTGAAACGGCGAGGTTTTTCAATTCTTCCTTTTTGTCGCTTCTTTGCATAAGTGCCTGGAAATTTCAGATCCTCTGCACATTTTGGTGCGCCGGACGTTGAATTGACTTACTGCTGCTAATTTCCAATTGCCTTGCTTATCTTATATCTGTGTGAAATCACTAATATTTGCATCATTTTCTTGTTTGTCTTGCCTCGTTTCTCAGACGTTGAGCCCTCCGCAGCCGTCGTCGTCGGTGTCACCGAGTCAGCCGTCATCGACGTCGCAAGATGCCTGTGCGTCACCACCGTCGTCGTCTAGCGGGACGACGAACACTTCCACTTCCGCGTCCACTTCCGTCGTTTCGCGGCTGCCGTTTCTCTATTCGAGTATGGACGCCCCTCAGCCACCAGCATCCACCATGATGGGCCAGGTAATGTCATTTTCCTTTTTTTTCCTTCTTGGTCATTCAAATTTTGACCGCATGAAGAATCTTGACGTCGGCGCGTTGAAAGCTCAAATTTAATCAAACGCCGGGTTAATGTTAGGACAATGCGATAGATGATGTAGAGTTCTTTTGAGCTCTTGTTGCCCCCAATATAAACTCTTCGTTCATGTTGGCGGATGGTTGGGTGCTCAATCAAAGATCTCGGTTAATCGGAAAAAATTATTCTCAAAGTTGAAAAATATGCGAAGACGACCCGAATCACCTCACGTGGCGTGATATATCAGCATTCCCATGAATCTTTCATGGAAATATATTTTCCATCCCCGTCATAAGGTTTGCTGTGATAAGTTTAGTTTATTTATTTTCTTGTATCTCATCAGATAATATTTGAATACTGTTTTATATTTATTAGATAGTTACGAGTGTATAGTTTTTTTTTAGCCAAATGGTGCTTTCCATATTGACCTTAATTTCAGACAAATTTTCTTTTATGATTTAGTTTGTCGGGAAGAAATTAAGCGACTAAAATTGGCGACGAATATATTTTCCATCGGATCTGCTGGGTACTTCAATGAGGGTGATGAAACCCCGGATAATCAAGTTTCAGTTTTATATGAAACGAATGCCTCTAGCTTTTGTAGTCAGCTGTTTTCCTAAAAATCGTGATCAACTTGTATACAGTGATGTGAAGCGATGTAGTGTTGGAAACATCTTTGCATTTCATGCGCGGGTATTAATTTTTTTAGGTCGTTTTTCTTTTTGAAATTCAAGATTTTGATTATCTTGCCTCAAGTGCCTCTCTTTCTTTTTTTCTAGCTCGCGAAAATCGAAGAGTAATCGTCCAACAGTCAGTCAAAGAACGCTATTTCGGGAAGCTGTTTTCAAGGTTTCTGCGTTGCTTATGTTCGCGGAATCATTTTCTCGAGACGAGGCTTCTAGTCTGACGTAGATGATCGCAGTTTTTTTTTCCTCTAGTGTGTGTTCATTGTGGCGATAATAAGAAGTGCTTGGCGAAGCGCGTAATTTCTCGGGTGTGTGATGGCTGGCGGGAGGAAAGCCTTTTCAGGATGAAATGTATTCTAGCTTGACGTGTGAGGTGTCTACGTATACGTACTGTATGGTTGTGTCTTGGGTTTTCTTTCTCTCTTTTTTACTTAGGTGATGGGCGCCCTGTTCCAGCCACCTCCGCCAGCGAACGGGGCCACCTCAGCACAAGACATGGACCTGAACGTGGACTTCTCGGGCCAGCAGCTGGACTGCAACGTGGACGAGGTCATCAGCCAGGAGCTGAGCATGGACGGCAACCTGGACTTCTCCTTTGCCGCCAGCCAAGGCGGCAACAACGGCGGCGCGAGCAACGGATTCCCTGTGCAGCTAGTGCACCAGCAGTCCGTCATGGTGCCGGTGAATGGGCACCAGTACCACATCGTGGACCAGGACAGCGAGCACCACCATCTCCACCACCACCATCACCACCTCCACCACCAGTTCCCGCACACCGTGCAGCATTTCCCGACCTCGCCGCAAACCTCGGCCGCCCCGCACCACATCGCGCCGTCCGTGTCCAGGAGTTGGGTCCGGTGAGAGAACCCTTCGGCCCCACCCACCTCGGGTTCGTGTGTTGTGTGTGTCGTTCGTTCGTTCGTGTCTCCCTTCCAGTGCCGCTCTCCTCGCACCTTCCCTTTTTTGTCCCCCCCCCTTCCGCCGTCAAAACGTCACGCGCTCGACTGGTACCATTGTTGTGTCACTGATCGGCACCACATTTGCTAAAATTCCCTTTAAAAAAAAAAGAAACTTTACCAAAAGAAAGGAAAGAGCAACTACGATACTCTAAATGCCCATCGCGGAATAAATTCGCGTTCTCCAATGATCGTAGAGGAAGAATTTTGAGGAACTAAGCGGAGATCCCCATTTGAAACTGATAATTTATTTTTTCCGCTCGATTCCCAGCGTACGAGTCCTCCGGATTACCACGAAAGTCCCTGAGCACGTTTTCTATCTTAAAATGCATCGCCGATCTGTCGATACAACAGAATTCAGCACTTCTGGCGAAAATTTTATCGCAAATTTTAAAAGACCCTTCGGAGAATCCCAAAGAGTAAATCTGGAATACATCAAAAATTATTTGAAGCAGTGACTTGTTTATGAACGACGTTTTTTGCTGCGCCAGATTAAGTTGCGGTTTATCGACAGCGTTTATTCGCAAATAAATATTGCATTTTAAAATTATTTTTTATATCTGGGTCAGGACATTAAATTTTGTTTTTCGGCCGAAGATCTGAAGAAAAAATAAATAAAATTCGTGATAATATCTTCAGATTCTCATCAACCCTGTTCTGTTTTTTGGCTGTGTGCGGTTAAAAGTTAACCAGTTGCTTTTTATAAACAGACTTTTTATAAAATCAACCGCTTTGCACTGACGAAATCAAAATACATACAGTACAGTAGTTCTCTGAGGTTATTAAACATCGTTACTGGTCTGAAAATGTCGGGGATTTCTCTTTCCGATTTTCATGATCGCGAGGATATTCTTCGTGGTCCGTTTGTTTTGGCATGTTCCGTAGTTAATTTCGATAATGAGCATGACGTTATTGTCTGATCTCGCGGTGACAGATAAAAAGGAGGGCGTGGAATCGAGTGCGAAGTGACGAGAAAAGGAAGGAAATGATTGTAGGGAAAAAGAGCGATTGAGTCGTTTCATTTTTTTTTTTTTTTTTGGTCCCCGCCCCTCGCTCCATCGTCCAAGCCCTGTCATGAATTTCCAGAAGAAAGCCTTCGGGGTTTTCTCGTCGTTCTTGTAATAAATTATTCGGACCCCACTGTGCGACGGATTTTCTTTTTCTGCATTCGTTCCCACTCCTGGACATTGGCGAGCCGCCGGAGCAGATCCGATTCCGGAAGCAAGTGCGACGGAAAAGGTGAGTTCCTCTTCATTAATTCACACGCGCTAATTCCGACTGTTGGGATCCGTCGTCTGGTCGTATCTCTAAACGAGATTATCTTGGACAAGAATCCATCCTGTTCCCCGAGAGAGTATACCTTGTATTTATTCTTCTACTGCGCCCGAAAAAAAAAACGAATGACGTAAAAGTTCTGAGAGTAAGATTTGCATGAGATCCGCGCCGTGGACTGAAATAGACGCGGTTTTATTTGTCGGTGAGGTTTTATGCGTAGTTTCGCACGCCGAATCGCACGTGAAATTGAAGGGCACTGGGAGTGCTATTCGGTTCTCGTTATCATTCCGCAAGTCACATCGGCGAGCGTTCTTGAGATAAGAAAACTCGTCGTCTATGCGAGGTAATTAAACACTTGTCTCATTTTAATGCCTGGGTTCATCGACGGTCGTCTGGGACTCGGTGTACCGTTTTCACTGGAGATAAACGGATTTCCTTTCCCTCGTCTGCAATTATTATGCGATAAGAAGGGTTCGAGAGACAAAGACACTGCCCCAATTCCGCATGTTAGGTGGCTGAATCTTCCGTCATTTTCGTGAAATGTACGAAGAAATTACCGTACTTCACTAGTCTAAGGCGTTACGTCGAACTGGAACTTCAGAAGAAGTGGGACGTTTTTGCAGTTTTCACTGAGTATTTTTTAATGATGTGTGTAATTATCGAGATTATTTTGGGAGAATAGAAGTTATATATTTTTTAAATCACTTGCTCCTTCTCGGACGAATTTTCAGGCAAGGTGCTGAAGATATAATTGTACTGTAGAAGAAAAATCGCAAATGGTTTGCGAGGCTCGCGAAGGGATTTCTTCCTTTATTGAAACAGAATTTATGTACCCAATTCATGCATTCCCGAACGTAAAAACGACATTTCAGAAACCTGCTGTGCTTATTATCAGAAAAACTTAATTAAAAATAAGTTCAATCGTTAATTAAATCTAAAATTATCTGATCTTATTTTCCGATGAATACTGTACTCTACTTACATACACATATCACTTCCGTTCTTCCGTGTTTCTCTTTGAAATGAATCTTCATCCAAAAGTCCCATCCGTCGATTCTCATACAAGATACAGTGTAGGGGTTACGTTTATTTAATTTCAAGAAAAGTTTTATTTATCGCCAACGTTTCAGGCTTAGTTGTGATTTGGCTTTTAGGTTATGTTAGTCATTTGCGACATTGGGAGAGTCATATCTTTTCCGCGCGATAAATATTGTAAATCAAAGTTTCGAAATGGCGAATCACCCCGCATTAGTTCGATTTCGGGTTAAAATTTTCGGATGAATTGGTTCGATATTAGGTTATTCAAAATTCAAAGAAGGTTGCGTTGATTAAGCTTCCAAAATTGCGGTAAAGTATTGGCTCGTTGAAAATGTTTTAAAATATATTAACCAAGAAGCTCTAGCCCCAGAAATACGGCACTAGCGCGGGTTTGAAATACCGTATGTAAACGTTGGTTCGATGACCAGGACGATCTCCTTCATCACATTGAGCCCTCGAAGTCTAACATGTTAATATGCCACGAATCATCGACATTGAGGTAAACATGGTTAGCGAATGCCGAGTCGAAAAGCATGCAAATTATTGTAGAAGGAAATCAAACGAAAGGCGCGCTTGCCCGCGGGTGAATCCAAAGCTTTCCAAGGTAATGCTGCAAATTTCGCTTCGTCGAGTGTCAATTTAGGCATCCACCGCTTCATGGAATAACTAGTTTCGGAAACAGATCGTTAGCCATCATGTTGGTTTTTTTTTTTTTTGCAAACTCAATCGATGATGGTGTCCCGGGGCGGCCATTGGTGAACGGAAAGGTACCCGAGTTACGGCCTCGCATGAGCAGTAAAACCGGGAGAGCGTTCCGCTCTGCATCGACGCGTTTCCGTCAGCGGCAAGAAAGAAAATAAGTAAATGGAGGCAAAATGCGCAGAAAAAGGGGAGAGAGAAAGAGAGGAAGGAAAGAAGTGAAGTCAACCAGGCGTGCGGGCCACACGGTGAACAACAAAAAAATGTGCGGAAGGTTGCACGGGTCCAGGTGCGCGAAACCCCCCCCACCGCCGATCCCGGAGAGGGAGCAGCGATGGAACTTATGAAGTACCAGGGATGGTCCATAAGTTACCAACCCATTCTGTGGTATCCGTCAAAAAAATTTACAATAGGATTTAATTTCACATTTGAACGAGAGAAAAAAAATTCATTCCCATCACCGCTGAGTTCGAGGATTTTGTGAGTGCTATTCAATATGCCTGCCAATTCCGAAGAGGGTGTATAGACTGTATACAGTAATTTTGTTTTCTGTCATTTTTTTTTGAAAGCAATGTTTTGTTACCAACACGTGCCCTCGCATGACGTGTGAGGACATTGGCGCTCTTTCGCCACTATTCTTCAAGTTCGGTGTTTTTATTTTGTCGTCAATCATTTTGGTCAACCGCGGATGATGAACGTCTCGCATAGCAGATTTTTTAAAGAATGGATTATAGCCTCCGCTAATTTTTTGCGTTGATAATTGGCCATGCTTCGGATAACTTCCGTAGTGCTTTGCAAAAATGGTCCAAGCATAATTTTTCAGCCTAGTATAAATTCTTTAATGTTAAGAGCGTTGCTCTTCTTGCTTCTGTTTTGCTGATATGTATAGTAAAGCGGTATATTATTAAATAAGCTATTGATTGTCAGCTTATAAAGACTGCGCAGTGGATACTTCGAAGTGATTCAGAACGCATTAGCCATTCTGTTTAATTTATTCATGCCACATTAGTCAGTTGAAGAACGTTCAGGGGCACGGAACCGAATGGCCATCATGTGTACAATAGTATGACATTATGTAGTTGGTGCACTTTTCGTCTACCGTGAATAATTTCTTGTCGGAACCGATTACAGTACTGTAGTTGCAATAATGGACGAAGCATCGAATTGAATAATTACGCTTACAAAAATAACAATTCGTTGTGGCGTTGAAGCAATTCATGTCTGTTGGTTAAGTCGAGTTCTCAAGTCTCAAAACTTATGGACCATCCCTTGTAAATGGTGGTAGTCGTGGTGGTGGCGGCGGCCGCCGCCGCAGGGTACCCGTGGCGCCGCGGGCGGGCGAGCGAGGGAGAAGGAGGGAGTGCACGCGGGTCACGCAGATGCATTATAGCGTCTGGGCGCCGTCTAGCCATGAGATGCCGCCCGTCTCCTTCCACCCGTGCGAAGAAGAGAAGACCTGTTCTTCTCTTCTCCTAATGGTGGTGGTGGTGGTGGTGCTGCTGTGTCGCCTGTAGTATGCCCTATGCAAGAGACTGAAGTGCAGTACAGTACAGTATCATACCCTTCACGCATCTCGCTCTTTGCCTGCTTTTCTTGATGAGCCTTGTTTCCGGGAGCACTTCCCTGCGGATGCGGCCAACGAGGTCTATGTTACTCCATTTCCCCCGTTGGATTCCTGACCGCGGATTCTTCCGAGCGAGGCCATCGCTTAGAATGACGAACCTGTTGCCTGGTACTGAAAGGCGGAAAGTTTGCTGCCGAAATTTAGGGTCCTTGGGAAACGGGATAACAATCAAGAGATTGAAACGCATTTTTCAAAGATATTTTCCTGTGCCCTTTAACACAACTGACCCTTGCGATTCGTCTGAGGGTAACGTGTGATGATGCTTTCATTTAGAAAATGTCGGGGGATAAAATAACAATGAAAAAAATTTTATAGGCAGACGTCAATTTTGAGACAATTTGACTGATTCACGGACAAGAAGTCAATAAATGTTTCATATTCATGCCTTGAATACCATAGTCTCGAATATATGCATTCATGGAATAACATTTTTTTAAAGCTAAATTCTGTGTCCCCAGACGTTTTCCTCATGAAGTACTGTATTAGTTTATTTTTTCGGGGTTTTTACCCGGTGATACGCGGGCATTTGACGAAAAGCTGAATATCACTCAGTTCGCACGGTTTTGAATGTCAAGGTTTCCACTTCTAATCGAAATGAAAAATACTCATCCAGTCTTGCCGTACTTCAGCTGTAAGCTCCGTACTTGTGCCTTGAATAAGAAATACTATATGTTGTCATCCACTGTTGAAAATCACGTTGTTTTGTTTTCATTTCACGTTTTCAATGATCGAATAAGGTTTTAGCCGTGGACAAGAGTTTGAAGTCCGTAATCTGGAAAATGTATTGGCCTAGCAATTTGACTTTGTATAGAATGGCTTAACTTTTTAAGATTTGGATTTTAGCACTTAAACAGCAATGGAAGAGTACAATACTATGTACTGTATATGGAATAGTTAATCCGTTCTAGATTCGATTGAAATTCCCTTCCCTAATTCTTGAATTAGTTCTTATATCAATAGGTGCTCAAGATTTTACATTGTATTATAAAATATTTTCAATATCCGTGGAAACGACAGAAAAATGTCCGACGGCATCTAATATACTGTATTGAAAAAGGTAACGCCTTCGTGAATATTTTGGCATCCGATTCTTTAAGAATAAAAATTTTCATGCCGTCAATTTCAAGCAAAAATATCGCAGTCCAGTGGTTCCTAAGTTAATGGAATTCATTCAGAGCACGTGAAAAGTCTATTTATCGAGAAATTCAAAGCTTTTCGAAATGGCCTTTATTCAAGTATTGTTCAGCAATATGGAATAGGCAAATATATTCCAGATTTCTCGGGAATCTAATTCGAGAATCATTGAATAAAGTACAAAATACTTCTGGTGTAGTTCCAACAGAAACTGTAAAAAAAAGTCG